CAAGGGCAAAAGAAAAAGCAAGACTTAATACTTATAATTTTAATGCTAATCATTGAGGAAGTAATGTGAACAAAATTCCTGGTGAATAATTTTTTTTCTCATTAAACTGTTATTTTAATGTGTCTCAAAATTCTGTGACAGATTTTTGGTCATGTTGTTTCCATTAAAAAGTACTGATTTTAAAAACTAATAACTTAAAAACTGCCACACACACAAAAGAACCAAATGGTCCACAAACATTCTCCTTTCCTTCTGAAGGTTTTACGATGCATTGTAATCATTAACCAGTCTTTTACTATTAAACTTAAATGGCCTATTGAGACAAACAGTTCTGGGACCGTTCTTCCACCACTGATTAAGACTGGGGTGGCAGCTGCTGGGAATAATATTCATTTAGCCTTCTGAGCTTTCTGGGCAGACTTGGTGACTTTGCCAGCTCCAGCTGCCTTCTTGCCCACTGCTTTGATGACACCCACAGCAACTGTCTGTCTCATGTCACGAACAGCGAAACGGCCCAGAGGAGGGTAGTCAGAGAAGCTCTCAACATACATGGGCTTGCCAGGAATCATATCAACGATGGCAGCATCACCAGATTTCAAGAACTTGGGGTCATCTTCCAACTTTTTCCCAGAACGATGGTCAATCTTCTCCTTCAGCTCAGCAAATTTGCAAGCAATGTGAGCTGTGTGACAATCCAGCACAGGTGCATATTCGGCACTGATCTGGCCTGGGTGGTTCAGGATAATCACCTGAGCTGTGGAGCCAGCTGCTTCCATTGGTGGATCATTTTTGCTGTCACCAGCCACATTGCCACGGCGAACATCTTTGACAGACACGCTCTTGATGTTGAAGCCCACATTGTCCCCAGGAAGAGCTTCACTCAAAGCTTCACGGTGCATTTCAACAGACTTTACTTCAGTTGTAACATTGACTGGAGCAAAGGTGACCACCATGCCGGGCTTGAGAACACCAGAGGGACAGTACCAATACCACCAATTTTGTAGACATCCTGAAGGGGCAGACGCAGGGGCTTGTCAGTTGGGTGAGTTGGTGGCAGGATGCAATCCAGAGCTTCAAGCAGTGTGGTTCCACTGGCATCGCCATCTTTATGGGTGACCTTCCATCCCTTGAACCAGGGCATGTTAGCACTTGGCTCCAGCATGTTGCCACCATTCCAACCAAAAATTGGCACAAATGCTACTGTGTCAGGGTTGTAGGCAATTTTCTTAATGTAGGTGCTGACTTCTTTAACAATTTCCTCGTATCTTTTCTGGCTGTAGGGTGGCTCAGTGGAATCCATTTTGTTAACACCAACAATCAGCTGTTTCACACCCAGAGTGTCGGCCAGAAGGGCATGCTCACGGGTCTGTTCATTCTTGGAGATGCCTGCTTCAAATTCACTAACACCGGCAGCAACAATCAGGACAGCACAGGCGGCCTGAGATATGCCTTTAATCATGTTTTTGATGAAGTCTCTGTGCCCTGGGGCATCAATGATGGTCACATAATACTTGCTGGTCTCGAATTTCCACAGGGAGATATCAATGGTGATACCTCGCTCCCGTTCGGTTTTCAGTTTATCCAAGACCCAGGCATACTTGAAGGAGCCCTTCCACATCTCAGCAGCCTCCTTCTCAAACTTCTCGATGGTTCTTTTGTCGATCCCACCATATTTGTAGATGAGATGGCCAGTAGTGGTAGACTTGCCGGCATCTACATGTCCAATGACGACGATGTTGATGTGAGTCTTTTCCTTTCCTATCTTGGGTTTGAGTTAATGGTGGTTTTCACAACACCTGTGTTCTGGCGACAAACCCACTGCGAAAAAAACCCTGGTGAATAATTTAAAAAGTTAATGCATTAGTTGCTAACTCCAAAATTTATACAGGCTGATATGGGAGCAGGCTGCTGTCCTAATTAAAGCCTTTCTTTAAACCGGAGAACCATTGTGAAGCTAAAATCCACTATATTGATCTATAACTGCTACCCGAAGGTACTGCAGCTGGTGTAAGTTCTTGCTCATACAAAACTTCTCTGAGAAAGGTTTAATGTAGAAGAAATCTACACCACAAAACCACAATACACACACACATGCACATGCACACACACACACACACACAAATGGTAGGATTGAGATAAAAGTGAATTGGATAGAAAGCAAAAAAAAAAAAAAAAAAAAAAAAACATCTGGGAAAACATCTTCCACTAATTTGTATGGATTTAGATAACATGTTTTCCATGATTAGCTGCTGCAATGTGTTACTCAGTAACAACAAAAGAATGACAAAAATGGAAGGCTGTTGGAGGAGGTAGGTCATTGAGAGGATGAGACAGCTGGTTGACCCAGGAAGAGGATCTGGGAGGTCAGTCTCCTCATACCTCCTTGGAATGTAAGTTCTGCCCACCATCCTCAACCTAGGATTCATTTTAAGGGCAAGCCTTGAGAGAGGAAGGTGTTTTTGAGACCATCTGGATGATACACTAGTATACTACTGAATCCAGTAATTTCATTTTAGGATCTGGCAGTCAGATGAGGTGATCTACTCCTCTCATGACCACCCAAGTTCATATGCAAGTTTCCTTGCTTATTAAAATGGCCGTCTACCACTTTAGAGCAGTCTTCCACTTTTCTAGATTGCTTCATGCTCTCCATGTACAGGGGCCAGTGTGGGAACCAGCACAGGTTTTAAAATAAATAAGTAGGAAGGCTGGAATCAAATTCTGCCTCCGCCTCTACTTCTGTCTGTATTTGAACTTGGACATATCACTTAAACTCACCTTAATCTTCCATCTTCTCTCCTGAAAATTAAGGGACTTAAGAGTAGATCTGTTCTGAAATTATATTAATGTGCACTTGAAATATACTACTTGACATGTACCACATATCAAAAGATTGTAGTTATTTAAATAAGCAAGTAAACCTATTCATTTTTTTTTTTAGCAACCACTTACAAAGTGCCTGCAATTTATCTGTTGTAAACAAGTGTCCCATTTGTAAAATCTTGAGTTCAGGAAAAAGCTAGATGTTTTGTGTGTTTTTAAAAAATATATCTTATTGATTTTTTTATAGAGGGGAAGAGAGAGCTAGAAACAACCATGAGAGAGAAACATCTATCAGCTGCCTCCTGCACACCCCCTACTGGGTATGTGCCAGTAACCAAGGTACATGTCCTTGACCTGAATTGAACCCGGGACTTTTTAGTCTGCAGGCCAACACTCTATCCACTGAGCCAAACCGGTTTCAGCGAAGCTGGATGTTTGAGAGAGAGAGAGATTAACTGTAATGAAAAGAAGAAAGGTATAGCATCAGATTCTAGATCAGAACATGCTAATGTAGAAAGTCAATGTTGAGGGACTGTTGTGTTCAGTGCTGTATTTCAAGGAGAGAATTGGCTCTTAGAGGCACTCAGATTTTCATTAGAAATGCTTGTGATTACTTCTAATTCCCAGTGATCTTTTCTTTCTCCCATTTCTACTGTAGTTAAGCTATAAATTGCATGTTCTACTGTTACAATCCATCCTGTCTTTAACTGAAGTCTAGCTGTGTCGTGTGTGAATTCTGGTTCTAAGCACAAAAGGACCTCTCAGGATGATACTTTTAATTTCACAGAGCATGAGGGGAGATGGAGTAGCGTGGCCTCTGAGTTTGGAATGCCTGGCTGTGGTTTCTACACTATGAATTAGCAGCCATGAGACCGCAAATAGCTTTTCTGGGCCTCTGTTTTATCATCTGTAAAATGGAAGTAATAATATTTCTCTTATATGGATGTTCTGATGATTAAATAAAGAAATCCATGTAAAGGATTTGGCAATATGTACATAGAAAACAATGCATGCAGTTATTTTTACTTAAATACTATCATGAATTAATGGTTTTTATTTACTTTTGTATATTTTTTAAGAAGTAAAAGTACTTGGCAGCAGATAACCTAAATATTTTTGAGAGGGCTTGAAGGCGAGCTACAGACTGAAAGGGGGAAAATGAAGTATTACTGGCTTTAGCTCTTAAAGCAAATGGAGGGAATGTGGTCTTTAGGCTTTTTGAAAAACAAGGATTATGGATTTTCAATTACAGAACTCCAGCATCTTGCTACAGGGCTTGACTCATATCAGACACGCCCTTGATATTTGCATAACTCATTAATAAATAAATAGGTTGGCCGTGGTATAACAATCCAGGCACCCTGCTTCTGCTTCCAGAGAGGTCTTTCTTGCTAGCCAAACATTGGGCTCCCAACTGCAGAAGGCAGGTGAACCTCTCCCTAGGATGGAATCTGTGCATCTTTGGCAAAATGCTTTTTTTCTCTCTTCAAAAGGTCCTTTCGTGCAGTGGGCTTGCAAGGCTCAGGGACAAACAGCCCCTCTGCACCGCGACCCCCTCCCCGCCATGTTTCCCAAGTGGGCTCATTCTCACTACCTGAGATGCTTTTAATGTTCCCAGGTCTCAATATCTTCCCTGCTGAGCCTGGAGCTCTGGAAATAAGAATCCTGGGCTATCTTCATCGGGGTCTAGATTTTTAATGCCTTGATCACCTGGGGTCCTTGGCTGTCGCATCAGAGAGCAAATCCCAGAACCACACCTCCTTCTGAAACAGTAGGCAAAGTCTGCCAGCGGTTCTTTTCCAGAATCTCTGGAGGCAGCAGGACCAAGCAGCCCTGTCTCCCAGGGTGAGCCCAGCTTAGGAAGCTCCTGCCCTTACCTTGGCTCCCTCCCAGATCCCCTCCGCCCCCGCCGCCTCCCGCCACTCAGCCCAAGGACAGCCAGACTCCTGGGCAGCTGGCATCCGTTCAGTAATCCCGGGAGCGCTGCAGGGTGACTACTTAGGCTCCCGCACCGCACCCTCCGAGGCCACACAGCCTGGGAGACTCGCTCAACTGACTCAGCGCGGATGAACCGTCCCTTTTTCTCTCCTCCCGCTTCCCTTTCATTCATCCACCCTTTGGATGCTGCTAGCAGACCAAGGCTTACATACCAAGGCTTCTAAACATCGAAAATAAAAATGTGCAAAAAATCCCCCGTGGGTTGTGCGTGTGCGTTGTGGTGTGTGTGTGTGTGTGTGTGTGTGTGTGTGTGTGTGTGTGTGTCCATCCGCGCTTGTGCAAAAAAAAAAATCTCCAAAACGTCACAGTTTGCATTCCGGAGGAGCGCGCCCAGAAATCCGAGATCTTCCCAGGGATTCCCCTACCCTGCCTCCTCCGCTGCACTTACCCCCAAGAGGTAGGTCTGGGGCTTGCTCCTCCACCCCCTGCTGCAGCGGGAGAGGGGAGAGACGGCCGCTGCGATTTCCCTTCCTCCCCCCCCCCCCCCACCCAGCCCTCTTTTGGGGCGCACAGTCCCGGGTGCAGGGATCCTTTCCAGTCCCCCCGCATCCACCTGGCGAGCGGCTGAGCAGGTGCCAGCGCTCCCCCGGCCTCGGGCAGCCTGCGGGGCGGGAGACCCGCTGAGCCCGCGCTCCCGGGGGCCCGGGCGGCGGGCGGTGCTGCGGCCGCTCCCCCTCCCGCGGGGCCTGCGCCGGCCGCGCCGCTCGGGGCGTGAGTGCGCCCGCGGGCTCGGTGGGAAGGGCTTCCCCGGAAGCGGCGGAGGATCGGGGCAGAGAGTCTGCGGGGACCCCAGCAACAGCCCCAGAGCACAGGAGCTTCCCGAGAGAAAGCGATTGAAAACCAAGGGAAGCCCGTTCCCCCAAAGCCCGGGGCGCCAACAGCCTCGGGTCCCCCTGGAGCCGGCGGAGGCGCGGTTGGCCGCGGCGGCTGCGGGCGCCGGAGTGGGACAGAGGCTTTTCCACTTTCCGGGGGAGGGAGGGACTTGCAGGCAAGAGCTGCACCTGCTCTAGGAGCTGCTGAGAGGACTCCGGGGTAAGTCGGGTCCTGGCCCCGGAGCGGAAAGGGGGAGGTTAGGTGGGGGCGGGGGGAGGAAAGGGCAGAAGAGGAATGAGAAGCGGGGGAAGGTAGGGGACAAGGGAGGAATTATGCAAAAAAAGAAGAAAAAATTCTCCAATATTCCAGCGCAGCAGCACTCCCAGGAAGAGTCCCTCCCGGGGCTCCCGTGCCAAAGTGGGGGGGGGGGTGTGAAAGAAGGGGGGCTCGAAGTTCTCTTTAAGGAGAAGAGAAACTCCCCAAACCTCGGAGGGTGACCGAGGCGAGCGGGGCGGAGTCTGAGTCGGAGCGGGGCTCGGGCCCCGGCGGCTGCCTCGGTGGCCCGTCCGCAGCTCCGACTCCCAGCGCCCCGTCCTCCTCATGGCCGCGGGGAGCCTCCCCTCCGCACCCCGCCTCCCGCCTCCCGCCGGCGCCCCCGGGAGCGGCGGGCCCCAGGACCTTAGGTTCCCTGGTGGCACGGAGGATGCTCACCTGGTCGGACCTCCCCCTCGCTCCCCTCCCTCCTCCTCCCGCCCCACCCGCTCCCCTCCCCTCCTGGCCGGGCAGCGTCGGGCTCCGTAGGCGAGGAAAGAACGACCCCTGCAGTTGCAGTGCCGGAACCTCGGCGGCGGCGGCGGCACTCGTTGCGGGCGCTGGGAGCCAGGGATCGGGGAGCCAGGGATCGGGGAGCCCCGGGAAGCAGCCGCGGAACGGCGTGCGGAGCCCGCGGGCCCCTGACGCGCCCGGGTCCCCGGCTCCTCGCGGTCGGCGATCGGCGCCCTGGCCGCGCCGCCGGGGTCGGGCTCGGCGGAGGCGGGCAGCGCGCGGACCTGGGCGCTGGGAGGACGGGCGGCGGCGGGTTCGGGCACTAATCCCTGCCTCTCTCGCCTCTCCCTCTCGCCGCCTCCCTTCTGCTGCGTCTGCTCCTCCCCCCGCCCCCCGGAAGCAGGAGAGGACCGGCCCCGAAGCGGAGCGGCAGCCGCCCTCGGACAGACCATGCCCCGGTGAGCCGGGCGGACTTCGAGGGCAACTTGGCGCGGACCGCCTGCGAGCTGCCCGGGCCCCGCCAGCCGAGGAGGAGCGGCAGCAGCGCGGCCCGGCGGGGGGCTCTCGTCTATGCCTTCTTGGGGCGCCCGGCGGCGGATCGGGGTCTCGTTCGTGCAGACGGAGCCCGGCGCTGGTGGCGGCTGCAGGTGGCTGCCGCCGCCTCTGCTGCTGGCGTTGCTTCCTCCGCCGCCCGGGCCGGGAGCAGCGGAGACCTCTGAGCGGGGACACCTCCTCCGGGGCGGCAGCCAGACCTCGGACATGTGTCAGCACACCTGGGGCGCCGCGCAGCCCTTAAGCCCGAGGGGATCTTTGCCGGAACAAGTCCAACGGCGATATTGATCTTGGGGGTGACTGTCCCTGGACCGGCCGCCGTCCGGTGGGAGTGCGAGCTTGCACACTCGCCCAGAAGTGTGTGAGTGTGTGGATGTGCGTGTGCCGTGCCGGGCTAACCCCCCCCGCCCCCCGTTTTCCCGTCGAGTGATGCACTTGGAATGAGAATCGGAGGATGGAAATAGTCTGGGAGGTGTTTTTTCTTCTTCAAGCCAATTTCATCGTCTGCATATCAGGTACGGGGACGCGCCAGAGTGGCGGGCGGGTTGGTGTGGTGTTGGGTTTGGGGTTTGTGGGGTCCTATGTGTGCAAGGCACTGAGGTGGCCTCTCGGGCTGGGATGGGGGGGGGGGGTGGGGGCGGGATGGTGGCAGAGACCTGCTCAGCTCTGCGGGTTTGCTGCCTTCGGAATTATAAACCTTCTGAACCCAAGTGTGTGTGTGTGTGTGTGTGTGTGTGTGTGTGTGTGTGTGTGTGTCCGGGGTAGTATCCGCATGGAGTTCTGGAAGGTACAAGGGGTGGGGGGAGAGGAGGGAGAGGCAGATGACTGTTGATTTTCCAGGCTTTCTGGCTGAGAACTCTGGCGCCGAAATCTGAGCCTTGGCCACCCCCACCCCCAACCCCTGGCTTTCAAAGTTCCCAAACTTGGTGGTTCTGGCTGGCAAAAATGGACACGGAGCCCTGCCCTGGGGATCAGAGCACTTTCAATTGACTGCGGGAAGATGCGGGAGTGGAGACTGTTCATCAGGGACCAGAGGGAGGTGGAGGTCCTCCATTCCTTCCCCCAAACCCATCAGGCACAGCGGAGATGGTCTGAACCATCCTAGCCAGCCGCCCCTTCCCCCCAATAAAAGCAAACCCCGTCAGAAACAATACAGCATCATCAGTGCTACTCTAAATGATGGTCCTTTGGAATGCCCAGTGGCAGGGGTGTGCTGGCTGAGACTCACTGGCCTCGGGCTACTTGTGCCAGCCTTTGGTTTTAGCAGCGGAGGGCAAGCCAGTGGAGGGGAGTGAGGTAGGGCTAGTGCCTGCCTGCACCTGTGTGTCTCTGTGTTGGAAGGGATTCTGATTGCCAAGCAATGTCTTTGTTGGTGCAGGGGGTGGGGGGTTTGGAAGGGAGCAGTGAGAAAAAGCCTGGGGATCAGCAGTATTTCCCAATGTAGTGCCTCCTCCCCTTGACCGTGCCCACCCCATTTCCCTTCACACCTGTCATGGAGGGGCCCAGGGCAAGGCCCCTTTGCAGCGCTCCCCTCTGCCTGCATTCCCTCTGCAGAATTGGGGACGCAGCCAACTTGCCATGAAGTCACCAGAAGAGGAGAGCAGGAACCCTGCCCCTGGGAGCAGGCACATTTGAGCATCCCTGGGGGACAGGGGCATGTTTCCTGAATCTTCCTTCAGTCCTGCAATCCCCACCCTCCGATTCTGGATAGTAAAAACCCTTGTCTGCTCTTACACTGGACCCAGACCCAAAGACCGTTGTTGAGCTGCAATGTTCTCTTCATAGAACAGGAATAGGAAATATTTTATTCAAAATTGCTCCCTTTGGGGCTTGGTCACCTTACTAAGAAATCAGAGGTTTACTGTGAGCCTGGAAGATAATAAACAGTGCCCTGAAATCCTCTAGTGATGACTCTTTTACCCCATCCTACACCTGAGGGAAAATTCCTAGGTTAGGTGACTTGTAAAGGTTTATAGCTGCCATCTATCCAGGAATGAACTGGGAAGCATCTCCCAAGGCCACAGTTTGCATCTTTCTCTTCTACATGTCTATTTCATCCTCTCTCTCTCTCTCTCTCTCTCTCTCTCTCTCTCTCTCTCTCTCTCTCTCTCTCCCCTCATGCATTCCATATTTCATTGGTTATAAAACACCCTTTCCCTACCTCTCTCCAGCATCATACATAATTTTTACATGAGACAAGCCATCTGAGTCCCTTTAAAACTTACCAAGGGTTAACATCAATGAGGCTCCACCCCCAGCATCCTTTCTTTCCAGTCCCTGCCTTTGGCCAGGCCATCACAGGAGACCCAGCTGAGAATGGGTCTGTCCTTAGCCTCCCCCTAATGGGATACCTGTCACAGCTCTCCATATCCTGAACTTGGTCTGATATATCAACAACGACATTATGTAAATAGGAGCATTAGAAGGAAGTTCTTCCCAACCCAGGAGGGGGCCATGGAGTACAAGGCCTCTCACATGTGTTTACTAAGTAATCGTCATTGCTCAGTAATGAGGGGATAAAAGTGTAAGCGAAATTGCCAGCTATTAGCTAAACACAGAAAACTAGGTTAGCGTTGCAAATGCCTAGTTAGGATCTGCGCTAATTTGCACTTTATGAAGACATTTAGGCAGAGAGGCCCCATTATGGACTCTGTATTTACACATCCATACAATTTGCTTCCAAGGGCTATCCCTCCAGGGGCCAGATGGCTTTCACCCTCCATAAACAGAACTGCTCACTAAGGGACGTCCCTGTGTGTCACAGGTCTGATTAGGAACATAATTACAAGTCACAGTTTGGGGGGCTTTGTTTTTCCCCCCACATCTGGCAGCTTTAAGAAGTGCAGGAATGCAATGCACTGAGGTTGAATAATTGTCGAATGAGCATTTAGTAGGTCTTTCTTTTCTGTTTCCATGATTTGCAGTTTTAATTTACTCACGACTGAGCTTTACCCAAAGGAATATAACCCTTATTGTAAAACCTACTAAATCTTAAAGGAGTTTTTAAAAATATTTAAAACAAAACACCTCTCTGCCATCTTGGGATGAATTGCCCTACCCTGGAAATGGATATGAATTCTTACAGAGTGACCAGGTCATCACTAATGGATGCAGTACTAGGGTTGGCATCATTCCTGAGGAATTCCAGACTAGGAAGGGCCAGCAAAAGTCTGCACTGTAAACATTTTGCAGAAGGAAAATGAGGGGAGTGGATCTGGCCTGTAAAAGGTATCTTGACTGAATTTCAGTCAGTAGCACTAGCTTTCAGGAATACTCTGGTGCTTTGTAGCTGAGTGTTTCCTTAACCAAAGCTGCCTACCCTCCCTCAACCCATCCCAACCCCCAAATTAAAAGTATATACCTACAAGGAGCTTTCTCCCGAGGGCCTGTGTAGACATAGTGCTTAAAATACAGAGCCTTGCTCTTGGTAGGTTTGATGGCTCTGCACTAGTCATTTGGTTTATGATGAAGCTGTGATACTATTTCCCAAGGCTGTTGACCCTGCAGGGTAATTGTTTTTTTTTTTTTTTTTTTTTTTTTTTTTTTTTTTTTTTCTTTATTTTTTTTTATTTTTTTTTTTTATTTTTTTTTATTTTACATATTTTATTGATTTTTTTTTTGCCCCCCTCCTTCCCTCCCATGTATCCCCTCCCTCCCCAGAGTTTTATGTCCATTGGTTGTACTTATACCTGCAGGGTAATTGTAAGGAACAAAACACTCCTTATAAAATGCCTAGCGTGGTGTCCAGAATGCAGTCACCACAGGCCGCAAATGGGACTGGGGGTCTGCTTGGCCAGGCTCAGCTAACTAGCTGCTGAGGGAGTACCATGTGTGCCTTCCATCTGAGAGATTCTATCCATTCTGGCTACTTAAGGACAACTCAGCTAGGCTGACGAGGGAATACCAGGCCTGGGAGTTCTTGGGGCTCCTTATTAGACTCAGATCTCATTTTATTGAAAATGTAAGGCAGCCAAGATCTCTGAAGAGATGAGGGGGAGGGAGGAAAGGCATGAGGGAGGAAGAGAGAGGGGAGAGAGAGAGATAATTTTCCCCGATGCTAGCAAGAGCTCCATTCCATCCTTACAAAAGCAGTTCACATCTGCAAAGAATGAATGCTTAGCAGCACCAGGAGAGAATTTCCTGGTCCAAAAACAGCTGTCTGCTTTAATTTACTTAATGCATCTTACTTCCTTATGTGTAACTTTACTTAGGCAGCTTATTCATAATAATAACAGCAATAACAATTATAACTATGTGGTGCTTTCACATATATTATGTAATATTGCACATATTTTAACTCATCCATTCTTAGAGTAATTTTATATGTAAGGCAACCAATGCCCACAGAGGGTCAGCCTGGAGGATTCACAGCCAGGTCTAACTGGGGTCAAATCATCTATGTTTCGGTTCAAGGTTTCTTTTAAATGTTGTTATACAGTATATATTTTTTATGTTTTCAATGGAAAGAATAAAATGTGTTAAATGGATGTAAGTCTTAGAGAGTTTGAAAGTGGAAATTAGGGGGATTAATAGTCTAGAGCTAGAATTAAGGTAGCATTTGAGTGCTACATGACTGCCAATCAAACCAACGAGACTATTATCCAAGTTTGCCCCCCAATGCCTTATGATATGCAACCCCTAATTAAGCAAAGAATATGTCATATATTCTTTGCCTTATCTGAAAATTCAAATGGTTTCCCTTCAGCTTCTTTACATGTAGAAAGGGGATAACAGTACATACCCCACACATTTGTATATGGATGAGACTAGATAATGAATTCAGTGATTCTGGCACAGTGTCTGAGGCTAGCAATAGTGTGCTTGCAGTCATGTAAATATTTTTTTCCCCTAAAAATCTGACATTGCACAGGATTGTGAGGCCAAGATAGAAAAGAGCCTTTAGTTTCCTCCCCTCCCACTTCTGTAAAAGCAAAAACAGAATCATTAGCAATCACATTTTATCCATTGAGTTTGAGTCCTCCTTTTAAGAAGGCCTTGGCTTAACAGCTTTGAAATGTCTCTTCATTTTGTTTCCCAGACAAATGAGACTGGCAATGCTAGGTATGGGTGCTGGTCATGGGTGGCACTCCCTTTACCCCTGGGAGCCCAATATGAAGGTGGGGCTTGGAAAGTTTAATACATCGCCTGGAAACAAGGTAGTGCTTGT